GGGAGATGGCCTTGAGTGAGACCCGGGGAAGATGGACAGACGGTTCCAGCAGAGGGAACCACAGGCACAGAAGTCCTGGTCCCGGAGACAAGTGGTATGTTGGAGGCACAGTTGGAGGGCCAGTGTGGCTGGAGTTAGGTGAGCGAGGAGGAGAGTTGGAGGAATGAGGTTGAGGGGCATGGGCTAGGTCAGGCAGAGCCTCGTAGGCTGAGCTAAACAGTTTGGATCTTATTCTAAGTGCAGTAACAAATGAAAAGAGAGCTTGGGGGAGAGGTGTGACATAATAGATTTACATTTTTTGAGAGATTACTCTGAGTGCCGTGTAGAGAATGGATATAGGGGAAGAGGAGGGTACATAAGGAAATGAGCTCCAGTTCACTGATGGTCACCTCGTGAAGGGGGAGTAGAGGAATGTTGGCTATTTCTTGGAGGTGGACTGGGAAGTTACTTAATGTTTCCCTGTCTCACATTTCCCGTCTACAAAATGGGGATGGCATTGCTACACCTGGCCTACTTGTAAAACCCAAGAAGCTAGCTCTTAAGGGCAATGTAAGATTTTATTGCTATTATTATTTGCTAATATTGTGTCACATTGAATTCCCTGGGCTTTATTTTAAAATTTGTTCCAATGAATCTTAATGTCTTTTTATTTATTTTATTGCTTTCAATAAACATAATTTATTGTACATAAAAAATATTTTGTTCTGTTCAGAGCACTGGCAACCTTTAACTAAAAGTTACCAATAAAACACACCATCATAGAATGTGTTGAAATGGATGCTAAAATAATAGCTGGCTTTATTTTGAAAGTTGAATGGGCTCAGGTAAAATTCAAAAATAAAATATTTGAATCTGGAAATTGGAAAAAAAAATTTTAACTTTTAAAACTGTATTTTTTTAAATTTTTAGGTAGATTAGCATTTGTCTTGGATATGGCTGTCCAGATTTCTGTGGATAATTGAAAATATACATGTGACAGCAGAATTTCTGGGGAGGGCAATAGAAGAGAGTGGAATAGGATTGTTGCCCTCAGTGAGGCATGCTCTCTCAGAGGAAACTCTCGAACTTGCCCTAGTTGATCACTGACTAAGTTTTAGAGAGTCAGGAAGAATTTTGAAGTTGTTCATCAACTACCCTAGGGTTGCCCCTTTGAGGGATAGAACAACTGCCACAATGAAGCAATCTTGTTTCTCTTTCCTGACCCACTTTGACTGTTCAGCTTACTAGAAGATGCATCTGTTTAGAGGAAGACAGGCCCTTCCTCATTTACATTGTGTGCAGTGGAAACTTCAGCTCCTTGTGACTTAATGCGCTCTGGGTTATTTCCAGTTGCCAGAGCCCATTAATGATTTATCGGTCAGTGTGTCTGAATTTCAGCTTGAAGTGGCCAGTCTGGTAATTCAAATTACAGACAAAATGTGATAGTAATTTTGGGATCTGTATGGTTTCTCTTTGCCATGTCTGCCATCATAGTTCCTTAGGGTTGGGGGGTGGTTGGGACATCTTTAAGGGAGAGGTTACAGTTTCTCATTGGGGTCACAGATCTATTTTGTTTGACTCGTAAAATGTTTCAAAATGTTGCATTAGTTGCTATCCTTTAAAAGCCAGAGAATTTTTTCTTGAAAATAATCAGAAGATCTAGTATCATGGAGCTGTCTTTCCTACACGGGAGCAGTCAACTGGAGTAGAGTGGTGGTTGCCTCCTTTTGGATGGTTCAGTTTGCCACAGTCCCTGCTAGTCCTTATTCTATTACGTAGGCCTGTTTGACTCATTTAAGTTACCTGGCTGGCCCTTGTAGACTTTTGGTTTTTAACCTCAGGTTTAGGGCTATCTCATCCAGCCTGTCCCTTACCCTCACCTGATATAGGACTCCCTATTCCTGTACCACTACTGGTGTCCCCAGACCTGTACTTTTACTGCTCCTTTGATGAAGAGGTTAATGCTAATTGTCGAAAAGCTCCTGTTAATGGAGGTCTATAGTCTGGGTCCACATAGAGCATGTCTAGGACCTTTGCACAGAGGTGTAGCTATCACATGCCATCTGGGTTTTCCCCGTAGTAAACTTCCCTCATTTCTTCAGCAGCTCATTGTGTGACTTGCTGCCTTGTTCCCTCATCATGCTGATTGTTGCTGGGTTATTGTCCCTTTGTATGACCTTTCACTTGTTAAAATCCCTATAGTCCCACCAATTCAATAAGATGTGGTCTAACTGGTGCAGAATACGGTAGGAGGGTGGCCTCCCTCTCTCTAGGATGTTATATTTCTGTTACACAACCTAAAATATCTTTAGAATTTTCTTAGCCAATCCATTCTTTTTTTTTTTTTTCTTTTCTTTTACTTTTAGGGCTTATTTTCCAGTTAGATTGTTCCTGAGGGTTTACGGGAGATCTGTTCAATATATAGGTTGAGAGCAGTTGTTTTCAACTGAGGAGGATTTTTGCTGCCCGCCCTCCCCAACCAGGGTACGTGTGGCAATATATGGAGACATACTTGGTTGACACAGCTGGGGTGTGCTACTGACATCTAGTGAGTAGAGGCCAGGGGTGCTGTTAAATATTGTACAATACACAGGACAGCCCCCACGACCCAGACTCATCAGCCCAGAATGTCAGTAGTGCTGAGGTTGAGAATCTTTGTTGTAGAGTCAGGGCCTAGGTTCAGATACTGGGTTAGCTATTTCCTATCTCTGTGACCTTGGGCATGTTATTTAACCTCTCCTTCTCCATTTTCTCATCTGTATATTGAATAGATCTGAGGACTCAATGAGTTCACTTATATAAGATGTTTAGAATGGTGGCTGGCACAGAGTAAGCTTTCATTATTGCTACCAGCTGTGTAAACACTATCTTACTTTTCCTCCTCACTTTATTCATTTTGGTTTGTACATAAGACATCAGATGAGTGAGTTGTTCAAGGTTGAGTGATGGCATTTCATTTCTAACCTTGCCTATGGGAGGTGCACTGGTACATTTGGATGTCTTAGGGAGCTAACAGCTCTTCCAAGACTGCCTTCCCTCTATGGCCCCATTATCATTTTTCGGATTCTTTCAGTATTTTAATCTGTACTGGGGCATATATGTCAGGTTTAATACTGCAACCCCCATTTGGAGGACATGAACATTGAGTTCCTGTCATGGAAGAGGATCTATGCTTATTGCTTATTCATTACCAATTTCCTGTGTCCCCCAGCCTCCTCCACACCCGGTCACTGTGGCTTGCACCTACACGGCAGATTTGGAGTAATGATGACATTCCTCTAAGGGCTCACATCCCTATAACAACTGCATCATCAGGATTCCCCTTTGAAAGATGAGGAAAGGGAAGTAGAAAGTAGGTAAAAACTTAGCCACTGTCACCAAACCAGTAAGTAGCAGATTCAGGATTCGCTAGAGCTAAATTTCTAAACCACTCTATTACTCTGTCACAAGGGAGATTTTCTCAAGGAGTATACCCATGACCTTGACCTAACCATCAGGTAGCCATTTACGCATACAACTCTCAACAGATCCAGTTACTCTTACTCTTATAAGTAATATTACATACATGGGGTATGTATGTATGTTTCTTGTGACTCTGCTGCATTTCATTTGTGTATCATTTGGTAAGGGTAGGGGTTGATTGTGGCTTTAGTTTTTCATAATTCAAGGATCTCCAATCCTTTAAGGCTGCGGTCCCCAACCCCGGAGTGTGGCCTGGTACAGATCCTCGGCCTGTTAAGAACCGGCTGTGCACCACCACCTGAGCTCTGTGCTGCTACCCCCACCCATGGAAAAATTGTCTTCCATGAAACTGGTCCCTGGTGCCAAAAAGGTTGAGACCTGCTGCTTTAAGGAGAATCCACATTTATTCTTTAGGAAAATCATTCTTTAGAAATTTTAAGCTCACCGAAAGCCCGTGGAGAGTACCATAGCTGAGGTGTCAGTGCCAGGTTGGCCTATCTAGGCAGGAGGTTGGAGGATTGAATCAAAGAGTAAGATCAGGAACTCCCAATATGGCAGCAGCCTACCCAGTGATCTTAGTGATCTTAGATAATTTGTACCCTTTTTTGCCTTTAAACCATATAGGGCACCAAACATCGGACATTTGCACATTGGATATAGGTAAGTTCCCATTTTCAAAATTGGGAGTAGAAGCAATGAATTCTATTTTACTTGTAACTTTTAAGTACAGTACTTGTACTTATAAATGGCTGTGCTGTTAAACTACTTCTACAACAGGGAACTGTTTCTTATTTTGCTTTTTTGACCCCACCTCTTTTCTTAGGTTGTGAAATGATTATGCAAGAGTTATATCTACTGTGCCCCAAATAAGAGGATTTAGACACTTCTGCAGAAGTCACTTGAGTGTTGTACATTTGCGATAATGTCCAGATTAAGTTTTGATTCCATTAGCTAATATGGCAAAGAGAATATAATGTTAATAGAGTAGGTATTATCTTTTCTCTTTTTTAGTTTCAATATTAGCAAGTATTGAGTAGGAAATTATTTTAGGGATGCTTTTAAAAAGAATCATATATCTTAGATAAAGATGAGACCTCAGAGGCCAAACACACCCAAATGCCCATCCCTTTTTCAGCATACCTGGCAGGGGCCAGTTAGTAGTGTTTGAATTCTTCTCATGACAGGGAACTCTCTACCTTGTGTGGCAGACATCACAAATGAGCCTAATTATCAAAACATTCTTCCTTTTATTGTCCAGGCATCTGCCACCCTGTAGCATGTTTCAGAATGAACCAAATATTTCTTCCTTATTAAATGAGGATAGAGTTGCCCCAGCGTTCTCTTAGACCAGAGTTTCTCAACCTCCCCACTGTTGACATTTGGGGATAGTTCTGTGTTGGGGGGGATGTCTCGTGCACTACAGAATGTGCAGCAGCATCCCTGGCCTCTACCCCTACATTCCAGTAGCCTCTCTCTCCTGGCGGAACAACCAAAAATGTCTCCAGGTATTGCCAGTGTCTTCTGGGGGAGTCACTACTATGGGGTGATATTGTAGCTTTTTTCTCCTGCCTTCATCCTATTGTACAATAAGATATCCAAAGTAGAAGATTTTATCTTCTTCATCAATCATTAAGTCTGGTAATGGGTCAATTTTGAGATATTTAAACCACTTTCTTTGAAACTCAATTGGCCTATTATTTGTTCTTTAGTCTCATTCTGTCACTCTATGTGCCCCATGTTAGTTTTCTATTGTTGTTCATTCAGACCTCCTTTTCTGCCATCCTCTTCCACTTTTAAGGGCCCTTGTAATGACATTGCGCCCACTCAGATAATCTATGATAATATCCCTATTTTAAGGTGGATTGATTAGTAAAATTAATTCCATCTGCAATCTTAATTCCCATTTGCCATGTTATATAACATATCCCTATATTCTAGGGTTCAGAATGTAGACATTCGTTGGTGTGGGTGGCATTATTCAGTCTGCCACGTGTTCTCATTCCAAAAGTTAATCAGAAAACAATTGGCAAAGAGAGTACTGATACTTGTGAAGGAGCATGTTCTTTTCTGACTATTTACCAGTAACAAAAGAGTTGAGGCACGCCTGCCCTAATCTCTTGCCAGGACTGGGTTTTACTGGGATGGTTTATTTGTCAGCTCTTGATAGAAATTTCAGAATTGAATATGGACATTTCACCTATTGTTTTGGTTTGTGTTTCATTTCAAAAATGGAAATTATACCTGAAGAGTATTTAACAGTGACAGATGGGGGAAATCAGGATTAGTGGCAGTCACGGTAGTAATATGGTGATCTCATCTGCGGTTTGAAGAACAAGTAGGGAACTGTGGTTCAGTGAGAGACATGAAGTCCACAGAATAGAGGCAGGAAGGTGGTATCTACTTTTAAGTGGATTTAAATAGAATGTGTCATCTTAGTGCTGATTGACGTGTTCTCTTGATTGCCAGGATGATACTCTAACTAATGGTCAAGGGGTCAAAACTGAAGAAAATTATTTTTGAGCTTTACCATTTAAAAAATTATTGATTTTTAAAGTAAACATTCCCATTGATTTACAGTATTGAAAAAAAGAAAATGAGAAAGAAGTATAAAAAAATTACCTTTAATTTCTAACTATATAAAACTCTCCAAAGAAGATAAACTTTGTAAACGTTTGTTCTTTCTTTATATTTATTTTGCTGCTGCTGCTGCTGCTTCTTATTCTTCTCTTTTGTGTACCTGGGATCATGGATAATTCTCTTAATTCTCTACATGACGTTTTACTTAATATTAAACATAAACACTTTTCATGATCTCAATGAAAAGGGACTTAACTGTCCCTTTTAAAATTATTTATTGGTTAAGGAATGCATTTTCTTGTAAAAAATGTGAAATATAATGGGAAAAATGCCCCTAAGTCTATCACCTTTTATATATTAATTCTCTTTTTAGTATGAATTTTTACATGGCAATTTTATATATTTTTTCAATTAAAATGCATTGTAAAGAGTTTCGTAAACCATGAAGAATTACTTTGTAAATATCATGTTAATAACTGAATAAAATCCCATTGACGGTATGCACTGTTCGACACTTGTGGTGTTTCCATTGTAGGTATGTGTATGTGTACGTCTGGCTCTTAATAGAGCTGGAATAACTATTGTAGTGCATTAAGTTTTTGGAGTTTTATTTTCCTGTATAAGATATTTTTCTACTAATCCTAAAAATTTAATTCAAAAGTTAATTAAGAGTATGGACAATTTAAAGCTTGCCAAATTGCCCTCCTAAAAATCACTGCATCCATTTATCAACCCATTGGCACAGTCGTTTCCATAGCAACAATTATGTAGAAAGTATAAAGTATTTGCTTAATAAATACCCTTTGACGGAATGACTGCAGATGTGGTGTTAGTCAGAACAGGCCATGCTGTGCTGCAGTAATGCAATAACGACTTCACCTGGAAATTTCAGTGGCTTAACACAACGAAAGTTTATTTCCTATTCATGAAAGGTCCTATGACTTGGCCGGGCTCTCTATTCAGTGACTAGGCAACCAGACTTCTTTCATCTTGATATTCCACGACATCACCTCATCGCTTCTAAGTTTGCCATATTGAGGAAAGGAAGGAATAGAGAAGATGCAGTGACTCTTAAGTGTCTCAGACCACGACTGTTCAAATTTCCATTTATCGTGGTAATTCGTCCCATGGCCTCAATCCAGCCACAAGAGAGGCCAGGAAATGTGTGTGTGTGGGGGGGGGAGGTAGATATTCAGAGTACTAATTGTCTATGCCACACTCCTATATTATATCTTCCTGCAAAATAACTATGCCAGCTAGTTAGCATCTTAGTATCAGTGGGACCAATACTCACATGGATCATTAAACTTGGCTCAGTTTGGGTTAGTAACCGTATGTGTTAGAAACTACTAGGATTCGGTATTTATCCACTCAGTAGGCATTTACCGAGTGCCTGCTGTGTGCCAGGCACTAATCTAGGTCTTGGGAATACAGTAGGGGGTTGGGGGTAGCACAGTCAAAAGTCCTTACACTCCCCAAATCGAATTTCTAGTGGAAGAAGATACACAGTTAACAAGATGAAAAAGCCTTCCCATAAGAGGGAATGTGTGCAAAGACCCCAAGGTGGCAATGGGGGGTTGGCGCAAAGCACCTGGTGTGTTTGGTGAATGGCAATGTAGCAAGTGTGGTTGCAGCAGGTGCGCGAGAGAGGACAGCGGCGGGATTGGGAGTCTGCTGAGTAGAGACTGCATAGTGCCTTCTGTGCTCCTTTAAGGTCTACGGCTTCTGCTCTGTAGCATTGAAGGCCTTTAGGGGTTGAGAGAGGAGGAGTGACAGGATCACTCTGGCTGCTATGTTGGGGACAGACTGCAGAAGCAAGGGCAAAAGCAGGTAGACCAGTTAGAGTTTACTGCCAAAATTCAGATGACAGATGGTCGTGGCTTGGACCATTTCCATCACTCCAAAAAGTTGGACAGATTTTAAAGGGGGAAATTGATCCACAAATACAAGACAGTTTTTGCCAGTGAGATGTTAGCATACAGCCTAATTGTAATATACTTTATTATTACCACAAGTCCGATATTCTGTTGTTTCATTCATTGATTCAACAAACATTTATTCAACACTAACTGCCTGCTAGGCCCTCTGTTAAGCACTGGGACAGCAAATAAGACATGACTTCTGCTTTTCAGAAGCTTACAGTGCAGTAGGATTATAGAAATCAGCAAAACTATAATATCATTAACACCAAAAATAACCACAGAAGCAAAAATACAATCACTGAATAATTATGTTGGAAACAACCAAAACTTACTAATTATTTACTTTGTGCTAGAAATACCTATAGATATTATTATGATGATAGATGTTTGTTATAATTGTTGTATTTTGTTGCTATATTTTATAACCAAACTAGACTGTTATAGAGTTAGAAAACTAGTGACCAGAAACCTAATATAACTATATCTGTGCTCTACAATCCAGCATTACCAAGGATTTTGCCACCATAGTGCTAATCTAAAACCCAGCCCAGAAAATGCATGTTTCATTGTTTCCAAATGTTACTAGTACCTCTGCTTCTCTGATTTGTCAGACTGTTTAAGTCCTCTTCATTGCATGTTTTTTTCTTTTAACCATCTGCTTCGAAGGAGATTAAGCTCAAAACCACTGCTCAGCTCCCAAGATGGTGCCACCCAAATTGCATGCGCTTTTCTGCCTCTGCAGCTGCCTTGCGCTGGTTCATCCTTTTGACTGGCAAGACCTAAATCCTGTTGCCCAGATTAAGTCATCAGGTAAGAGGTATATTTATTTGTTCAAGGCTTGAGCAGCTGCTTAGTTGCCAGACTCCAAGTAGCCCCAGAGAAGCTGCACGTCTGTACTTCTTTAAACAAGTCCTCTTAAGAAATGTTCATGGAAGCCCTCTGTTCTCCTGGGGTAGAGGAGAGGGCCACACTTTTTCCTCATTTTAGCTGAAACTGAAGAAGCATCTGTATTCTTCAATATCATGACTGCTGGACAGACCAGGATGCAACATTCTGAGACACAAGCTCAGCTTGCAATCACTGTGGAGAACTTCCTCAGTGCCACCCTGCTGTCCCTACTTTCCTAACCCCTCCCACCCTAGCACAACTGCCCTGGAGTTCACACCAAGGCAGCCTCAAAACCTGCTTCCATGAAAGGGAGAAGAGGCAGGTGTCTGGATCAAAAGGCGTAGTCCTGGATAGTAGTGGAGGGTGGTATGAGAAGGTTACAATTTAGGATATTGGGATCCAAAGGGGAAACAATCTCTTCTACCTAATAATGAGGAGAAGTGGGGACCCTGAAATGTTCCCCGTACAGGTAAAGTTTAAAAAAAAAAAAAAAGGTATTTGGGGAAGTACCTTGAAGTTTGAATTTGCCGGAAGGGAAAGTGGTATGTTCCAGATTAGATCTGCTAAAACTTCTCTAAGGAATTCATTGTGAATTTAGCTAGCCAGAGTTAACTAACTCTGGGGAAGGGATAAATAATATCAGTTGCCTGCCTTTTATGTGTTATATTCTGTGCCAGGTACTTGATCTTTGTTAACACTTCACCCTTACAACTGTCCCATTTTATAAATGAGGATCAGAGAGGGGAGTAAATTGCCTAGGCCAGAGTATTATAGCTTCAAAGAAGTACACCTGAAATAAATCACCTGGCTTCAATACACCTGAAATAGACTCACCTGGATCCAATACCCAGAAGCCCAACACCTGAAATAGACTCACCTGGATCCAATACCCAGGGTCCAATACCCAGCAGCCCAACACCTGAAATAGACTCACCTGGATCCAATATCCAGGGTCCAATACCCAATAGCCAACACCTGAAATAGACTCACCTGACTTCAACACCACATGCCTTCCTTGGAACTACCTCCTACCATTTGACCATGGATTACCAACCTGTGTGTCAGGCCAGGTGGTTTGGTACTTCAGCCCAATGTTTCTTAAACTTTAACAGGTGCACCTTTTCTGACTCGGTGGAATTGGGGTGAGGTCTGAGAGCCTGCATTTCCAAGCTCCCAGTGGTGCCAGTGGTGCTGGCCTATGGACCAGCTGAGCAGCGAGGCCTTATGTATTGACAGGTTTCATCATGGGCAGGTGCTTCGCACATGAGTCACCAATGTGGAAGATGTAAATAGGTTTCTTCTCGTGACTTGGAACCTTTCTGGGCAATGCCCACAATATTGATTCAGGTGTCATGCCTAACATAGCTCCTGGAGTCTGACTGGCAGAGGCAGAGTGTGATGGAAAACACGAAAGTCTGTCCAGCAGAGTAATAAACCCCCACATTCTAATAGGGGGAAGCGGTGGGTGAGCTGAACGTACCAAGAAAAGTGAGAGTCTGGATACATTGATATTTGGGCTCAACATCTTGAAATGAAATATGTATTTGATTGGGGTTTAGAAAGGAAGAGAACAGATAGACTGCAGGTCTGGGGAAGGGTTTTGGTACCAGAAAGAGAAAAGGAGTTTCAGGAGTGGGTGAGTAAAAGACTGCATATGACGAGACGTTTGAAAGAACAGGAGAGACCAGTGGCAGTTCAGTTTAGTTCAGCTCATTTTCACAAATATTTATTGAGCACTGACTAGGTGCTAAGCAGTCCATTAAAATCAGAGGATACAAAGACATGGACATGGCTCTTAAGAAACAGCCTAGTGTAGGAGGCAGCATGGAGACACATAATTTTAATATAATGTGATAAGAAGAATGATAAATGTATGTACAGGGAATCTGTGTGCTACTGAGGATGAAATGATTATGTTTATCTGGGGAATTGGGGCAGGCTTCAGAGAAGACAGGACATTTGATCAAGGTGTAACAGGTTGAATAGGAGTTGGCCCAGGGGATTTTAAGCACAGGCAGTAGCATGTACAAAGGTGCAGAGGCATCACACAGCCCAGCGTGTAGCTCAGGAGTGCTGTAGCACAGGACGGGGGATAACTTAGGAGGAAGAGGCAGAAGAAGAATCTGAGACAATGGGCATCGACATCACAGAGGGCCTTTCCTACAGTGCCCAGGAACTTGGGATTTAACCTGTACACCTGTGAGCCTCAACATGTTTCCACCCCCCTGGAAGGATAGGTCACATTGTGCCTCAAGGAATAGAGTATTTGCTTAGGAAGGCACATGTAGACTTAAATACCTCCTGCAAACTGCCCTCCAAAAAGCTTCTAATACAGTCCCCCTCCAAGTAAAACCACCTGCTGATAGGAAGCCATTGAAGGATTTTATTAATAATTGCCCAGTGAGATTTGTGCTTTAAAGGATGCGTTTGAAGGGGCCAAGAGCCAAGGTGGATAGGACAGTTAGGAGAGATGGCAACTGCCTGGTCAAGAGACAGTGAGGGTGAAAGTGAGACATTTGAGCTACAGGGTCAGAGATAAATTGGGGAGATAATTCTAAGCTAAAAAGAAACGTCAGAAATGGAGACTTGGTTGAATGTAGGGAGTTGCTGAGAAAGGTAGGATGATTCCCAGGTTTCTGGTGTGGGACGCAGGAGATGGGGGACTCTTGAGTTACAGGCTGTGTGGTTGGAGGGAAGAGGAGGAGTTGGGAAGTGGTCATTTAGCTTCATTTTGGACCTTTGGCTTTGACGTTTCTATGGGAGGGACATCAGGTGGACATACCCAGTAAGAAGTTGTTGACACAAATCTGAAATGTGAGATAAAGTTTATGTTTGAAAAAAACAGATTTGGGAAGTCATCTTTAATACTATAGGTAGAAGTAGAAGTTGAGGGCAAGGCTGTAAGTATCAGGAGATGATAGTACTAGGCCTCTTGGGAGAAGGGCTACGTCTCCCTCTAGCTTTTTACCTTCCAAACCCCCACACAGTGCTTTGCACCCAGCAGGCCCTCAGCAATTATTTGTGTATTTTACCAGTTAGGTTAAGAAATGAAGGAGGCCAGGAACTATGGGCAGTAACTTGATTCCCTTGCAATTCCTTTGCATATTAAAATCTGGGGTGTAATGGGTGACAAATAAGATAACATTTGCCTGTTTTTCAGCATGGATCAATAAAATACAAGCCCTGATGGCTGCAGCAGGCTTTGGCCAAACTAAAATCCCCAGAGGAAATGGACCTTATTCTGTTGGTTGTACAGACTTGATGTTCAATCACACTAAAGAGGTAAGGCTTTGATTAATACAACTTACCCTCACAGTTCGATGTGGACTGTCGCTATGGCCCACTAGAAGGTGTTGAAACCTGACCTTGCCCTCACCTGAGAATGACTCCGTCTGCCACTTGCTTGTTTTTTATGAAGCCATTCCCCAAGTCTTTGCTGTTGTCCGATTGATTCATCTATAAACTATCTTCATCTCCCCCTTCCTTAATGGCCAAAGCCAGCCTGCTTGCATTTTCTTTTCACTGAGAAAACATATTGTTTTATTTCTCTCTTCTTTCATGACTGCATTCCATCACCACAGCAGCTTATAAAGTTTCTAGACCTCTTTGTGAACAACAGCGGTATTTGGGTCCCCACTAATGAAATATGCAAAATAGTTGCTGGAATATGTTTGAGAAGAAACTTTACTGAAAGTGCACTCATTTCTTTCCTCGACAGGGCACCTTCTTGCGGTTGTATTATCCATCTCAAGATGATGATCGCCTTAACACCCTGTGGATCCCAAACACAGAATATTTTTTTGGTCTTAGTAAATTTCTTGGAACACATTGGCTTATGGGAAAAATTTTGAGCTTATTATTTGGTAAGATTTCTGTTGATTCTACTTTGTAGGCTCTAGTGTATAAGAAAACCTTGAAAACAACAAAAATTTCAGGCAATTAAGACCAAAGTAGATTTTCTGCGGTCTGAACTTCTCCTACGATGGCAAGGAAAGTATTTCTTAAAAGTCCAAGCAACTATGACAGAATCAAGAATTCTCATTTTATCCATTTTGAATGTGATGGGGGTGGCTGGGAACATCAGACTGGCTCTAACGTCTTCCTCTGGCTGCTCTTTAGTTTTTCTTCCTGCATCCCATGGGGGGAGCAAGAATGTGTGAAGTTCTCTGGGGTGACCACTACCCTGCATGCTGTGTGCTAAAGTCAGACACAAAGAGAAAGGAAAAAGAAGCCGCCATAACTCTCCAGATCCAAAAAAAGGAGACAAAGCTAATTTCTTACTTGTCATAAATGGAAAGACTTTCCTCTCATTCCCATCACCTACCCCTGAGGGACCAGCCTCTCTCACTAAGGCAGTTTGATGTGCCTTCATCCCCTACTTTGTACACTAATATAGACTCTTCCTTCCTTATCTGTTGGACCAGACGCTAGTGTTGGGCTGATGTTAACTGTGCCTTCAAATTTCTCCTTCAAAACTGTCTACAACTTTTGAGATTCATGACAAACCTCTCCTTAGAGTTTTCTTAAAAACCACTTTATAATAGAAATGATGAAAATACCATAACTACACATCTTTAGGGTGCTGAACAACTTATAAAGCACTTCCATAGCAATTGTCACATTCTGTCTTCATGACCACATTTCCGTTTTCTAGATGGGAAAATGAAACACGAGTAATTGCTAATGATAATGATGACAATAATAATTGGGAAGAAGCGAAGGAAGAGAAGACAGTATCTTCTCGTTTTTGAGCCTCTTACAATGTGATTGGATAGGTGCTTTACATATACTACCCAATTAAATAAAACTCCCACAAAAACCATATGAAATAGATGTCATTTCCTCAGTTTTGCAGAAGAGGATTCTGAAGCTCAGAGGGTGTGAGTAACTTGGCCAAGGTCAATAGTTAGTAAGTGGCTGAGCGGCATCCAAGGCCACACCTTAGTATGAAGTTAGTGGTTTCTCCACCTTCCACTGGATCACGACCAAATCATAATGAGAGGAACCTCTGATTATCAGATTCTGGCTCTCAGTGTAACATTCCTGAGGTTTACTGGATAGTCTGGTTTCCAAATACTCCCTCTAAAGTTCTTCCAAAACCTGGGAATGGTGGTAAGTATTAGCCTTTGTGGATACATCTGTAAGTAGGAAAATCTCCCACCTTAAGTGAAGAGCTGGTAGTGAGAACTGATAACTATCCTACAGTCTGAAGAACTGATAATTAATGATCTTTCAGTCTGAGGAAAGAATGCATGATTGGTGGGTATCTAGTAGCAGACCTTTTGATGAATTTACTAGGAATCCATAAAACATGGATATAAATTCCATGGGTCAGGACTTTATGCTAAGGAGATGTAAGTTAAATTAACTAACAACATTCAAGCCGGAGAAAACACTAACTATAATCACGCACTGTTGTCTAGGTTCAATGACAACCCCTGCAAGCTGGAATTCCCCTCTGAGGACTGGTGAAAAATATCCACTAATTGTTTTTTCTCATGGTCTTGGAGCATTCAGGTAATGTTTGAGAGGTTGAACAATTTTAGCCTCTTAGGGATCAATGGCTATTTTTTTTTTTTTTTCAAAAAAGGAATAGAGGATTTTGGAATGTCATGCTGGCCCTTGTCCTGGAGGAGTTCAGATTCCTCAATATTTCACTGTGGTCTCTTCATTGACCTTAGCTCTGTCATGTCAAGTAGTTTTTTCCCTTCTACCAGCTCATGGGGATTACCCTCACTGCAGAGAAGAGAGGGTGATGCAGTTTTGCTTATTGTCTTTCTATATTATAATATTTACGCTCTCAAAGCCATCCTCTGTGCAGTTCAGATTGTTCAGGAAATGGACACCAAGAATGGATTATCTGTGAAAGACATTTATGGAGAGAAATACCTTTGCATGGATAGAGGAAAAGGAGCAGGAAAGGTTGGGGAGAGCTCTCAGACCATGATGCAGGTTGGACGCCTGGAAAGGAAATGGGGAAGGGAGAAGCCCTGGGGAAGAAGAGTCAGACTGCAGCACAGTTCTCAGAAAGATCGGGGGGCCAGTGAAGGGAATGCTTGACCCCAAGTGACTTGTCAAGAGTCCTGCCTCTCACAGGAACGGGCCTACATTAGGACCCAGGCTGTGCCAGGTCACTGGGAGCAGCTCACAGGAAGCTTGGCTTCCACCTGAACATGGTGATGGGTCCAGAGGGGCAGGGAGGGATGGGGCGGTTAGTAAGCTGTGCTCTCTGTAGCATGATATCTGAGTAGCCATTTCCATGACAAGCACACCCTGTCCATTTATACCATCTTCTAACTGTCTCCCCTCCATCTACCTTGGGAGATTATAAAACTTTCAGAAAACAAAAGGTAGCTTTTAGCTGGGAAGAAGTGGGGTAGCACCTGCAATAAAGAATTATCTCCAGCATTTTAATTGTAGTGCAGCTACTTATTTGATTTCTACTACACTAGTGATTGGCAAATTAGACTCCAAGGGCCAAATCCAGCCCTGTGCCTGTTTCTGTAAATAAAGTTTTATTGGAACACAGCCACACCCATTCATTTTTTACATTGTCTGTGGCTACTTTTGTGCTATAACAGCAGAGTTGAGTAGTTGTGACAAAGACCGTATGGCCCACAAAGCTGGAAATATTTACTCTCTGGTCTTTAACAGAAAAAGTTTGCTGATCCCTGTGCTAGACCATTTCCCCCTTCTGAAGACGTCCTGTATCTTCAGCAGAAGACATGATTCCTAGTCACCTCCTTTTTATTCTCTAGGGATATTTCCATGATATAAGAAAAAGATTGTGTAGAATGAAGACATAGAAGAGGGTATAAATGCAGTTGCTTAGCACATGATTTTTTCACCATTTCACCCAGTCCAGTCACTTAAATAACAGCTAACGTGTTAAATATTTACGCTGCTTCAGATATAACTATAAGTACTGAAGATGTATTAACTCACTTGATCCTTACCTGTGAGGTGCCATACTGTTATAGCATCACCTTTTTATGCATAAGGACCCAAGGCAGAGAAAAGATAAGGACGTATCCAAGGTACACAGCTAATAAGTGGTGGAACCAGGATTCAAACTCAGTGGTCAGACTGCAGGTCCCATTCTCTTAACTACCATGCTGTATTGCTTTCCTACATATATTATTATATCTTATCAAAACTTTACAACTACCCTAAAGTAAAGGCTTTATTATTAACTCCATTTTACAGACGAGGACAAAAATTCAGTAATTACCTGAAATCATATAGCCAAGTGGCAGAACTAAGATTAAACACCCCCACCAAATCTCAAAGGCAATAATGGTAATCACTGCACCACCGTTTCTCAACCTCAGTACTGTTGACATTTTGGACCAGATAATCTCTTGTTGTGGAGGATTGTTCTGTGCATTATAGGATGTTTAGTGGCATTCCTCTCCCCACTAGATGCCAGTAGCACCCTCCCCCCATTCATGGTAATAAAAATATTGCCAGACATTGCCAGATATCCCCCATGGGCCTAACTTACCACCCTCACTTGAGAACCACAGCTCTCCACTCTACTGCAGGGCACCTCTACAGGGATGTAATGGCCTCTGTGCTCCCACTTTTATTAGTGGAACCAGCCTTGCAATCATGACGGGTAATTGTAATGCTTCATTCTCTTTGTTTTGAAGGACAATTTATTCTGCTATTGGCATTGACCTGGCATCTCATGGATTTATAGTTGCTGCTGTAGAACACAGGTATGTTACCTGGTGTATAATAACTGGGCTCTTTAGCCAAATACAGGGAATGTGAATGCCTAGAACCATGCCTCTAACTTTCATAAAAGTTTATAAAAAATGTTGATGGAATTTTCAACTGTGATGACATTAAAAAAAGGAAATCGTGTTAGATTGTTAAGACTTAAAAAACAGCTTACATTTCTAGACTGTTTATTGCATGCCATGTACTATATGCTAAGTATTTTTCATATACCATCTCATTTAGTCTCATAACAATCCTATGAGATAGTTACTATCTTCATTATTCTAAGAAAGAGCAAAATGAAAGTAAGAAAGGATAATTTGCCCCAAGTCACACAGCTAGTAAGTGGCAGCACTGGGATTTGGTTCCCAAGGGTGAGTTTTCAACGTGGCTAACGTTGCCTCCCAGAACCGTGAAGATAGATCGGGCTGAGTTTACCCATAACTTTTCGACAATAAACAGTAAGGTCTTTTTTCTAGAACTTCTTTTGGGTCCTTTTTAATTAAAGAAAAAAAAAAGTAGAGTGGAAGAAGAAAGAGAAGTTAAAAGATCAGAGGAAAGTTGAGCGAGGGATAGAGTTGAGGAGCCTGGGTCAGATGAGGAAGGGAGGGAGCATGTGTAAGTAATGAATTTTGCTTGTATTATAGAAATGGATCAGCATCTGCAACTTACTATTTCAAGGACCAGTCTGCTGCAGAAATAGGAAACAAGTCTTGGCTCTACTTTAGAACCCTAAAATCAGGTGACGATGTGAAATCTGAACGAAATAAACAGGTACATTGCAGTGAGAGGAGAAGTGGCTTCGCAAGTTAAAAGCATGTACAAAATGACGACATTTGCTAATTTAATTTTATGTATGGCATGATATGCTACCTCTCCTATCTCCTGTTCCCAAAAGATCTGTCAGTAGATTCTCTAAGTAATAAAATTCCCTTAATGAAATATCTGGTTCATAGTCAAAACAAAGGTAAACTCAAAAATCCTGGGTGATAACAGTGAATATTCAGGATTTTCTTGCATTAAAACCTCTAATTTTAGAATCTCAAAAGTGCTACAAAATAAACTAATAAATTTCCTCTCAGAGGCAATATAAAAAAAAAATCCTACTTTCCAGAGAGGTGGAATACAATAGCATTAAGAGTATAGGCCTTCGGATACAAGTTTCTATGTTTGAATCCTGGCTCCATTGCTCTGCAGTGGGGTGATCTTGGACAAGTTAATCTTTGCACTTCCGTGTTTTATCTGTCACTAAATAATGACTAATGACAGTATCTGTCTTACAAGGCTATTGGGATGATTAAGTGGAATAAAGCACACTGGCTGCTTCATTACAGGGATGCCTTACGTATGTTATGGCATTTAAGCCTTCCCACATTTCACTAGAGTAGGCATTATTATACAATAAGAGGAAGTTCAGAGAGGTTAAGTAAATCATCTGAAGTCATGCAGTAGGTAAGCAACAGAGCCAGGATTTAGACCAAGCTATACCTATGTGCGAAGCCGATGCCTGTGTCATTATGCTACCATGTATTGTAATCACGGACCACTTAGACGTTTCCAGTTTATAATCAATCAAATATTTTTCTCACATGCAACTTCTATACAAATTTTGAAATAATTGTTATAACTTTTCACTTTGTTTTTTCCTTCTTTTAATAACCGTATTAGTTACGTCACAGAGCAAAGGAATGTTCCCAAGCTCTCGATTTGATTCTTGACATTGATCATGGAAAGCCAGTGAAGAATGTATTAGATTTAGAGTTTGATGTGGGACAACTGAAGGTAAGCTTAAAAAAAAAGTCGTTTTTTCCCCTTGTCCTGTAGTTCTTTATTGTTCTTTGTTGTCTGATTATCTGCTATATTGCAAGGTACAACATGATGAAAGGCTGCAAAAAAAAAAAAGTATTACAACAAAGGGGAATGTATTTGGTTAAACTGTGCATGAAATTGCCACTAGTCAGTTTGGATCTGCAAAAATGGCAGTGTGGTATGGTTCAACTTTATACCTCCAGTGGAAGTATTATAGTTTGTTGGCTGACTCCTGTGTGTTTTTGAGCTTGATCTTGAAAAGTTGGTCAAAAGTTTTGGACAAACATTTGGGAGAGGGTGGAAGAATATCAGACAGAGTGGACAGACAGCATGAGCAGAGACTCAAAAATGTGTGTGGCATGTGGAGTGCAGGGAGAAGAGGATGACGGTCTGTTCTCCAGATACAGTGAAGAGTTTGTTACCCATCACCCAGCTACTCTCTCCTGTATCCATGCCTTGGTACATGCCCCCTTGACCTGACACACCTCTCCCCTTGACTAGCTCCCACCTAATCTTCAAGACTCCAGTTAGACATCACCTCCTCCAGGAAGCTTCCATGGATCCCAGTGCCCACCCCTGTGCCGGGTTCGCTATCTGTCATATGCGCTTCTTGGCACCCCTGTATTGTATTGCAGCATGTCTCTGTATCACTGTCTTCCTGGATAGGCGGTGAGCTCACTGCAAGTGAGACTGCGGTGCCTGGCACAGAGCAGGTGTTCCATCAATACTCATGGAATGAACTAACTAATGAATGTGGGGTGGGGAGAGGCAGAACTCAGAATTAATGTCAAAGTTGCAAGTGTGGGTGACTAAGAAGATCATTAAGTTTACTTCTGAACTTTTACATATGTGTTATATAGAGATAGAAAAATGTTTTTTTATATATATGTATATATGGTGAACAATAGATAGATATATGTGTGTATATGTATGTTCTCTTTTATAAGAAATCAAGGTCCTTAGCTGTTCCCATGAAATGAACGAACCATCATTGTATGATAGACAAAGTCATTTAGTCTGTTCTTCTAATACCATGTGAGATAGTTATGAATTTATATCATGCTTTTTCACATAGGACTCTATTGATAGGAAAAAAGTAGCAATAATTGGACATTCTTTTGGTGGAGCAACAGTTATTCAAACTCTTAGTGAAGACCAGAGATTCAGGTAAGAGAACAAGACAGATAAAGCAAAAGGGCAGTAAATTATTGGGGGAGGGGCAGTGATAACACATAGGAGATATCATTGTTTATCAGATTCTTAGTGAAGAAAGGAGCCTTTGAAGTTTATAAGTCTATTCCTTTGCTTGCATCAAGTGTTCTATGTAAATTTTCCTAGGCAGAAACCACCTACTACTCCTGCTATTAAAAACTCTCCCTACCCTTATATCTTTTCCCTCATTATTCTTACTTTTTTGCTCAGGGCTTAACATTTTTCACTTAGAAATACATCTCTATATATGTTTTTTCTAATGATAGTAATAATAACATTGCCATCTTACAGTACTGCCAGGCTTCCCCAATAGGTAGGACATTTTTTTAATCAGTTTTTTTTTCCCCTTCCATTTTTAAGGTGGAGCTGAATCTCAAATGACACAATCATTTGTGTAGGAGTGAGGAGCAGACCCCAGTTTTCTAACTTGTAGAAACATTTTTTTATTCTTGAAGTATTTCATTGCAGACTGATGAGATCATGTAAAACTAACCACAGAGAAAGTGGGCAGAATCAATTTGTGACATTTCTCCCTGAATTTCTTAAAATCTATTTCAATGTAAGGGAATTCTCTTCTTTTATTCATTTAGCAAAACATCAAGAAACATAGGATAAACTTAAAAAGAAAGTTGTATTTTCAAGTGCCATGCTTCCTATATTTTTCTTCAATACCCAGACAGTGTTTCAGGTGAAGCACCTCTCACTGTAAAGTAATGAGTCTACTGTTACTCTGAAAAAGGCATAATCCATACAATACAGAATGCACAAAAGCTCTGGAAACACAGGGAAAATGGTGCATTTATTGTACTTTTTCAGATACCCCCATGGTTTTCAAGAAAGTATTACTTATTTTAAAATTTATTTTAAACAATATAACTAAAAAATAAAATAAAAATGTTAAGGATATATGTTCTTAAAGGTTGCAATTCCTAGAGGCCTTCTAAAGAAAATGGTTGTATAATTGCAGGGCTGCAACCTTATAAAGCTAATCAGATCCCCTTTCCATATTGGAGTAGAATATCTCTTGCCCCCAGCAAGGTAACCCATAACAAACTGGTGTGGTGTATGTCTGCTAATCCAAGAATTACTAGAAAGTCCTGTATGCTGGCTAGTGTGTAAGCAGCCTTCTTTCCTTATTGTTGACGAATGCAGGTGTGGTATTGCCCTGGACCCATGGATGCTTCCAGTGGGTGATGAGGTGTATTCCCGAATTCCTCAGCCTCTCTTTTTTATCAACTCTGAACGGTTCCAATATTTAGATAATATCAAAAAAATGAAACAATGCTACTTGCCAGATAAAGAAAGAAAAATGATTACTATCAGGTAAGTATGAGAGACTTATTTCATCATCTGAAACAGAAACTTGGATAAATATCAACAGATATTATTTGGTAGCCAATACTGAATTGCTGAGTTGGTTGTTTAGACTTCCAATAAGCAGAACATTAGATAATTCTTATTAGATAATCTCAGTTTTTGAGTACATTTAGACTTAGTCTTTTTAAAATGGAAATGTTTTAGTAGTGTTAATGTATGAATGCATATACTAGTAATTGATATTAGCCTTATACTACATGCTACTTTTATCTAAACACCAGAACATACCTACACATTTATAGGCGTGGAGTAGGAGGGAAGTATTTCATCATTAGGCTAGACTAGGAACTCTTTGAAGAAAAAGTCATATCATCTATTGAGACCTGCAATGTATTTACCTGTTGGGAAAGAATATGAGTTTACCCCAAAACTATACCGGGGTACCCTTGAGCACTATGTTTATATCCTGGACATGAAAAAGAACTCCTTCTAGGGTTGTGAACTTTCGTGAGATATTCCAAAGCAAAGATAGAACTCACCCCTCTCACATCTGATACCTAGTCTATTTAGGAGAAAAAAAGAGGCAGGAAGGAAACACATAGAGTATAGGCCTCTTTGCTAGGCTCTCACCATATCCTTTTTCTTCCCTTCCCTGCCAGAAACTTTGAAAAAAATAGCATATGTTTAATATTTCATGTGCTTACTTCTATTCGCTCTTTGACTCTTGTGGTCTAGCTTCCTGAGCCACCACCAGCGTGTGCTGAAACTGGCCTGCTAAGCACACGAAAGGCCTCTGCACACCTCACCTGCAGCCTCAGCCTCTCTCTCCACATCCGCTGGACACTTGACTAGCTCTGTTTCTGCTCCCTCGGCCACCATGACCCTCCTCTGCGCGGCTTCTCCTATCATTTATGTGCTCTTTCCTTTTCTTCTCCTCAGGCCAGTCCTCGACTGTTGACGGCCTTCAGGTTTCTGCTCTCAGCTCTCTCATGACCCTGACTCTGTTTCCCTTTCTTTATGTTTCTGACACTCAAGTTTCAACTAGAATGTGGGGAAGAGTGAGAGGGAGTCAGGGTGGCTCTGTTTTCAGCTTGGATGACCAAAAGAATGATGGTTTGCTTATAAGAATCAGCAAAGTGAAGAGGAAGAGTTGCACTGGGTGGGACGGGGAAGATGTTGTCTTTTAACCTTGGAATTCGGTAGCTTGAGAACTGGGAAATCTGGATGGAGACGTCCGGCCACAAATTGGACGAGTACAGAATTTGCATGACATTATAGATGAAACCCTGGACTAGATGAGACTGCAAAATGAGGAAAGAATTGTTCTGGGAATAGAATCTTGAGGAATGCCTACATTTAGCCACTGAGAGAAGGGCGAAGGCCCATGAAGAGCACAAAATGGTCAGGGCCAGAAGGGAAGATGCAATGTTGAGGCAATGAAGAGGAAAAAAAAAAAGTACAAGAAAGACATCAGATGTTAAATGTCCCAGAGGTGGTAGAAAATGAACATAAATAAAAGGCCATTCCATTTGATGTTAGGCTATGGATGAATGTAGAGAAGTTATATCTCTATAAACTTTATACAGTTTAGTATGGGAAAAATTTTTAAAAAAAATCTATTTAATTCAAAGCTTAAATCCAATGTGTTTTGAGTTGCATCAGATAGATATCAAGTTCCGTGGTGAGGGCAGGTGGCAGGCTGTGGCTCTGAGTTCAGGGCCTCTTTAACACAGAACACATTCCACCTACTCAAATTGGAAGTATTCTAGTGTACTAAAAAACAGGAATCATTCCTTTTAAAATCAAGGTACCAACTAAGACAGGATTCTTTGAATTGTTTTTCTAGAGGGAAGATGAATATACTGTAGGATCCCTAAGGGAACAGTCTGTGACCCTCAAATATTTAGGTTATTAAATAAGAAATGTCCAATTTCCTTAACTACAGTTGATATCTCTGACATTTCACTTTGACACTTCTTGTTTTATTTTTATTGTGAAGGTACATCCTAATTTTTTCAAACACATGGTTTGGCTTGTGATTATCTTTCAAATTTATTTTTTAGAGCAATTTTTTTGAAACAATGGATAAGTCAAAAATTCACATCATTTTCAAATATGAGTTCTGTCGTGGAACCAATGCAGTACAGACAGCTCGAAATACCAACATAGTGTTTGAGAAGGATGTGGCTAATGAACACACTGTACATCGATGGTTTGAGAAGTTCCGTTCTGGTGATTTTAATCTTGAAAATGAGCCAAATGGGCGACCTGAGACCAAGGTGGATAATAATGAGCTGAAAGCTATAGGGTAAGCAAATCCATCTCAACCTACGTGTGAATTAGTAAGGTTTTACGCTACTATTCCAACAATATTGGACCATTTGAAACAAATCGGCAAGGTCAAGAAGCTGGATAGATGGGTTCCGCCAGAATCAAACAAGTGTCAGAAGAAAAATCATCTTGAAGCTTGCCTTTCTTTGCTGTCATGACATAAAGGTGAACCATTTCTATGCCGTATTGTTACATGTGATGAAAAATAGATTCTTTTTGACAATCACCAGCATTCGGCACTATGGTTGGATAAAGATGAAGTGCTGAAACACAGTCCAAAGCCGAATATTCATCAAAAAAAGCCAATGGTGTCTGGTGGTCCAGCACTGGTATTATCCACTACAGCTTCATGAAACCTGGTCAGTCATTAACTGCAGTCTGTAATCTATTACTGCAATCTACTGCAACCAGCTGGACAAAATGATGAGGATGCTTGCAATTAAGAAGCTGAGATTGGCCAATAGAGACGGGCCAATCTTCTTGCAAGACAACACTCCACCACATGTCATACAAACAACGCTGCTCAAACTACAGAGGTTGGACTTGGAAGCTCTCTGTTGTCCATCATTCTCACCAGACCTTGCACCAACTGACTACCACTTCTTCCAGGTTTTGGACCACATCTTGCAAGGAAAAATATTCAATTCTCAACAAGCTGTTTTTGCAATTTCATTGCCACTTCCTCTCTAGGCTTCTTTGCTGCTGGCATAAACAAGCTACCGTTAAGATGGCAAAACTATGTTGATAGTTTAGGCGCATACTTTGATTAATTGTACTGCTTGTTTGAGATACAATAAACTAAACTTGTGATTTGAAATTCGACAAATAGATCTAAGGCAATCAAATTACAAGTTTTATTTCCATGCTTTTGAATAAATAGGCCAAACAGGCCAGTATCTTTCCTATACCCTAACTACAAAGATAATTTTATCAAACAATGTGATTTTTTAAAATACTTCATTTCTCTTTTAGGGGTTCAGTCCATCAGAATTTTGCTGACTTCACTTTTGCAACTGGCAAAATATTTGGACACATACTCGCATTAAAAGGAGATATAGATTCAAATGTAGCTATTGATCTTAGCAACAAAGCTTCATTAGCATTCTTACAAAAGCATTTAGGTAAGAAACTAATGTTCTTTCTTGATAAACCCGATGAATCTCAGGACAAAACTGTCTATCTTAACACTTTAGTCCCATTTTAACTGTTTCCAGTTGGTTTACAGTTGAATAAAGCAGTAAATCAGTTTGAAAGCAAAATTTGACAAAGTTAACTGTGCTGCTTTACAGACTATGTATCATGCAAAGCAAGTCTATCTGTTAAAGCTTATAGTCTTTCTATGAAGCCTGGGTTGCACTTCCACTTGGAGAGTTCTGACAGCTGGGGTCCTCCCTCCATTCTCTAATTTGCAGGCAGCTGACAGGATACACCTTGCCTCTACAATCATTATGTAATTTATGTAATTCATAATTCTGTTGTACCACCTAGAGCTGCAGTCCCCCAACCCCCAGGCGGCAGACCGGTACTGGTTCCTGGCCTGTTAGGGACCAGGCAGAAGAGTTCCACCACTCCCCGCCCCCCATCCGTGGAAAAATTGTCTTACATGAAACTTGGGAAGGGGGGCGCACAGCAGGAGGTGGGCTAGCAAGTGAAGCTTCATTAGTATTTACAGCTGCTCCCCTCCCCATTGCTCACATCACCGCCTGACCTCTGCCTCCCCCACCACCCCTGTCCATGGAAAAACTGTCTTCCATGAAACCGGTCCCTGGTGCTAAGAAGGTTGGGGACTGCTGACCTAGAGGCACTGAACTGTTTAATGCTGTCAAAAGTTTAATATGTTTATTAACATTTATGTTTTTCAGGACTTCATAAAGATTTTGATAAGTGGGACTATCTGGTTGAAGGAGAGGATAAGAATCTTATTCCAGGGAGCAATATTAACACGACCGACCAACATGCCGCTCTGCAGAACTCTACAGGAATACAGAAACAGAATTAGGATTAAAAGAGCTTTTTAAAAAGTCTTGGTTCAAAACTGTCTAACATTGTGCGTGTGTGTGTGAGAGAGATTTTAATGTATTTTCCCAAAGCACTCATATTTTAAAATGTAGGCTATACTATAATAGTGAGTGAGGCTTGAACTAAGATTTTTTCATTTAAATATGAAGAATGCAGAATACAAAAATCATACCGGCCTAAAATTTAATCTTACTAAGATATCTTTTTTTAGTGTCAAAGTTAAAAACTGCTTTTATATTACTTTAGTAACAGACAGGTATATTAAAAGAGGCACCATGCCCGTGAAAACTTGTTGGAATGACATAATACTGCTTAAATATACAGTAAAAACAGATTTTATTGCCTTTTATTCTCTATTATGAACAGTATGATTGAATTTTAGCAACATGATATTCTAGGTGGAATTTGACAGCATTTCTCTTTGACTTTTAGTCATGATAAGAAAAATTAGATCAAGCTAATATTAATAATAAAGCCATTGTTTGAGCACAGTATTGGTGATACTGTACAATTTTGATATGATGACTAAATGGGGAAGGGACAAGGGTTAAGAATTTTGGAGACAAGGCAGAGGCAGTGGATATAGTGGATATAGTGAGTGAGGCTTGAACTAAAAAAAATTGGCAATGTTTTTGCATTTTCTTTAATGCTTTGTCTCTGATGCATTCTACTTACTAAAGAAAGGTGCCATTCGATTATAGCATATAGCAGGGATTCCAACTATAACACATTAGTTATTCACCCTAAGGCTGTACAGGAAAACAAAGGAAACATTCAGAATTACATTTATCTTCTTCATTTTCCAATTAATTCTATTTAATAGATATTTTAAATTCTATATATAGTAGTAAAAGTAGTATTCTTTTATTATTTAGTATCATTTTATTCCATTTAATTAAGTGGAGGTAAAAAGACAGCTTAAAAATATATACACTTACACATCTGGGAATCATGGAAAATCATTTTTTTCCCTGAGGGATATAAGAATTTATGCCAATCATTAGTTAAGTATATACTTTAGTCTAAGTATTATCTTGTTCCTGTGAATTCTCCATAATTAATTTAGCCTGTGTGAACAAGGTAGTCAGTACTTAGTAAGCAAATCTGGTTAACTGTTTCATCTCTATCCCTTTTGCCCAGCTATTAAGTTTACTGTGTATCCTGATTTTGTACCTCAGGCCTAGCTTAGTGGTGTAAGGGGCAGGATCACTCATTCTGAGAAGTTTGACTTCTCTCTCCTATAGCCATTCAGATTAAATTTTTCAAAATAGGGAGTTAAACTCAGCTTGAAACTGAAGGCTTTCTATAATCTGACCCTAATGCATCTTCTCTGACCTTCTGTCCTGGTAATTCACAATTACATTGTCTATATGAGTGAGTCACACTCGTCTGTTCTTTATCCCAGGAATAAGTAATATACTCATCTACCTCAATTATTTTTAATGCAAAACCCTTTCCTTTCTACTTACTGAAATTATACTCAGTTCTTAGTTCATTTCTATTAGGCTTCAGGGTCTGATAATGTTTCATACACATAACATCTTTTCCCCAGTCTCATTTGGCAAAGCTTCTCCTTACTCATTTCAGAAATGGATAAACATTCCAATTGTAATGATGTTCCATTCAAGAACAATTTTTTTTTTTTACAATCCTTTGTTGGTGGTATATGCTGATGCTGAATGGAGAAAACAAGTTCTGAAAATAACCAATAAGTTAAGGTTAAAAAAAAAAAAAACTAGCATAGTGCACACTTAATTTTTTTCAGGAAAAAGAAACATTTACCAAATGTCTACTCCTTTTCTGGTACTTTAAATAAATTATGTCTAATCTTAAAAACACTGTAAAAAAGGTTTTATCATCACCATTTTACAGATGAGGAAGATGAAGGCTCAAAGATACCACATAACCTGCCCGGATCTTGTATAACTAAGTAGCATGTAGCTAAGATCTATACTCTGCAAAATCATGTTTAAAATCATGGGCTTTGAAGTTAGATAGGTGTGGGTTTGGTCAAGCCTCTGAGAATCACTAGATATCTGACCTTGGGCAAGTTATTTAACTTCTCTAAAAAGCTTCAATTTTCTCACCTATAAAATATAGATAATATTAATATGTATCTCAAAGATGATGGTTAAAATGAGAAAATGTATTTAAAGTACCCAGTACATAAGAACTAACATTTACTATTACTTTGCTTCCCCCAATCTCTAATTACAGAGGAGAGAGGAACCACGGATATTCAAGAATCCTATTTTCTTTTTAATAAAATGAGACCACCATGCCATTAAGGATAAACTTTATTCAGATCTTATATCACATTAGAATACCTCCAAATTCGAACAGAATATTAGTCAGATGTTTTATTAGACAGGCAGCCAAAGTTTCAAAATCAAAACAAAAATTCTGAAGGCATTACTGCTAACAAAGCTACCCTCCTAAGTAGCCTCGTATCATGCACTTGTCATGAACTTATACTTTTCTATTTTAATTTAAACACTATATTCAAAAGATATCAAAATAGTTTTTTCGAAATGTGAGTTATGAGTTAGTAAATTGTTTACCAAATAAATCCTCTCGACTGATTAGAAACAACACAAAGCAGAGGAAAGATCCTAGATCCATACAGACAGCAATACGACTACAGATACACTGCACAGTCAACCTGAGACCTATTTCGTTTTCCACTTATATCAAAGTTTTTGAAAATGACAACTTCTTAGCGTAAAATGCTTTCGATTTCCTCAAATACTCTCTTGGTCTGGGTAAGATGCCACTTATTTAAGAGCAGCTTCTGACTGATTGGCCACATCTATGGATCCACGGTTAAATCTACATCACCTCCAGACTCCTTATCTGAAACGAGAAGAGAAAAACCTCAAGCTGAGAAAGAAATATAAAAACAAAAAAATTATTTATGTGGGTGCTGCTATGACAAATTTAATGTCCTCTAAAAGGAGGGAAGGGGGACAGATCAGTATTCTAACTATTACAGTGAATTATTCCTATAGAAATAGGTTTTTTTCTTCTTTTTAGTATTTTGGTTCTTGCACTGTACCTATCATCAAGTCTCTCTAAAAGATTATGAAATTGGAGTATTATATTTTGCTAGAATGATGTTAACAAGTCTAATAATCAAGGCCGAGCGCAGTGGCTCACGGCCTGAAATCCTAGCACTCTGGGAGGCCAAGGCGGGTGGATTGCTCAAGGTTAGGTGTTCCAGACCAGCCTGAGCAAGAGCAAGATGCCATCTCTGCTAAAAATAGAAAGGAATTAGCCGAACAACTAAAAATATATAGAAAAGAAATTAGCCAGGCATGGAGGTGCACACCTGTAGTCCCAGCTACTCGGGAAGCTGAGGCAGGAGGATCGCTTGAGCCCAGGAGTTTGAGGTTGCTGTGAGCTAGGCTGATGCCACGGCACTCTAGCCAGAGCAATAAAGCCAGACAAAAAAAAAAAAAGTCTAATAATCAATGAGTTCTTTGCTCTCTTTGATTAGTGTGTATTTTTCACATAATACTAAAGTCACCAAGAGCTAATTTTATCCTCAATGTGCCTCAATTCTAAGAACCAACATGCTATTTATGAGCAATATAAAATAACCAAGAACATCCAACAAGCTAAATCTTATGTAAACTAAAAATTCATAAATCCTAAGAGATTATTTTAAAAAGGTCATTTGAATATATAAGCTAATTAACACTAAGAAAATCCTTTAAAATATGAATTTATCAAACTCACCATTTAACTTTCAAGATTAATTCAATCAACAAACAAATTTCTTGTGATATATCAAGAAATCCTCCTTTTGGTTATTTATCCCCATAAGCACATTTAAACATTTTTACCTGAAGTGGTTTTTCCCCCCCACCACTAACATCCAGAGAAATTAATTAACCATTTTTGTTTGAGAGATTCAGCATAATGGTATCTTTAAGACCTGGCAATTCTGGGTGATAAAAGTATTTTGTTTTAAAAACACAAGTTACCTTGAATTATGGTATCATCCGATGACATGAAGTAAAGATCTTTTCCCACTGTTTGGAGTACAACCTAACAAAAGGAACCTTTGGATTACTACCAATTCTTTAAGTACAAAATAGTTTAAATCAGAAATAGGACCCTGGATAAATCAGAAAGAAAGTAAACAGTAAGAAGTATTCCTATTAAAATTATGGCAATCTAATTTTATAGTGAAGAATCACTTCAAGTGCATTTTCCATTATTTAAATACTCATTATCTGGAACATCTCCACTGGAGCACTCCACACAGGGAGTAAAGTACCCTGTCTCAGTTGTGAGCTCTCAAACCCTCTGACAAGTCTGGTTTTGGTGAAGGCGGGAGGGACATCATTGTTCAAGGGGCTGCTATTCAAACACATTATCTACGATGAGCCGCAGATCCTTTGAAGACAAGGGGCAGGGATATATTTCTCCTATATTCTTTTCAATGTGCGTGCATGATGTGATACAGAAACTAATTAGTGAGCTATATTCTTATGGTAAAATGAAATAGCTCAGAAAAAAACAAATACTAAAAAATTATAATTAGAAAGACTCCCAGATCATAGTGACTTGATATATCATAAAAAAATAGTCATGCATAGTACTCACAATATTCACTTTTTAGAGAAAACTAGCTCATTTGTAGGCAGGCATCCTTATCTAAGAGCTTACTCAAATTTGAGGAATCTTTAACTCCCATTAGTAATCAAACCAAAAATGTAAAGCTTTACTAGTTAGTTTCTATGTGTCTGCTAATTGGCTTAAGGCCAGAGGTAATTGTGTATATATTATTTTATGTCCACATTAAATAGTCCCAAATAGTTTTTTCCTATTTACCAGGTAATAGGGTACTTTGTCCAAATAGAATCCTGTATGTACATATGTATGTGTTTGTCTGTGGACTCTTCACAATTAATAGATGGAGACAATCAGAATGTAAAAGGAAGGTTTAGTAAATACTGATGCAAAAAACTATCAGGCTATTCTTTTTGACAAGTACACCAAAAAAGAACTAGCATAAGAAGGTGAAGAGAGATGTTCCATATTTTTAATACTAAAAATTTTAAGTGACCTAAATACCCAACACTATGAGAAATTGTTTAATGCATTATGGTTCATTAATGCCATGAAATATTACACAGCTATCAAATTGTTATGGCCTTCTGGTTGCAGCCAAGATGGAGTAAGCTTACTGCAACCTCTCTCTCTTTCACTTTCTCTTTTCTGATTACAACTAAAAATTCTAGACAGAATATATAAAGCAACTACCTGAGGACACTCACAAGTAAACAAGGATGGGAAGATAAGGGCTAAAGTAAAAACTTGAATAATGACTCACAACAGGGGTGAATTTTACAGGGTTTTTGGTTTTGTTCTTTCTTTCTTTACTTCTTTGTCTCCTGGTTTTGACCTTAGGGTAGGCTAAATCAAAACTTCCCAGCTGGGGGAAAATGCAAAACTCTGAGAGAAATCCCCTATTTCTAGCCAGAGGATTGGGATAAAGAGCCCCTGAATTTTATAGAGCAGCAGTTCCCAATCTTTTTGGCACCAGGGACCCATTTCACGGAAGAAAATTTTTTCACAGACGGGTGGTGTTAGGGGAGAGGGAAGTGGAGCTCAGGCAGTGATGCAAGCGATGGGGAGCGGCTGTAAACACAGACAAAGCTTCACTTGCTCACCCCACAGCTCACCTCCTGCTGTGCGGTCGGTTCTTCACTCACTCTGGGGTTCAGGACTGCAGCTATAGAGTAAGGAAGGGGTAGGAAATCCCACTACTATTATATTGTGGTGTTGTTGTTGTGTTGTTGTTTTCTCATTTTTCTTCTGGCCTTGTCCTCAGGGGAGCCCGAGTTACTGCCTGGTGACAGCAATGGCAATGCAGGTACCCAAAAATGTGAGAGATGACCTGTCTCTCTGGCCAGTGGAACCAGGAAAAGGTCCTCTGGCTATCTGAAGAGTAGGAGGAGGAGATTATTTTCATTCTCTCTTTATCTGCTTCACTCCAAAGGCAGGCTCAGCCAAACAGAACTTCATGACAGAACCTTGAGAAAAACATATTTCTGGCCAGAGAACAGAAAAAGAGGCTATTGAGGGCTGGATAAAAGAGGAACCCAGGAGTCAAAAAGTATGGAGGAAATCTCAGAGAGGAAAGAAGTTGGAAATATTTAACACCCAATACAAGGAATTAATATAAGTCCCAGGATCATCCCTGAGCTATGCACATGCAGAACAGGACCAAATAAACACAGCAAAGTCTTTGATACCTGACTACCATATAAACCACTGACCGAGTCCCAGACTAACCCGAATGGCTTATATACTGGGCAGACCAGAACAACACAGCAAAGGCTTTGCAAACTAAACTGATGTGGGAACCACTAGCTACAGGAGAGACAGAACTTGTGGTATGAACTTAAATAGGATGATCATCTGCTAAAACAAAAACTTTGACATTCTCCAGATTTCAATGAGACCCAAAGTCCTATAATATTTTCAATGTCCAGGATAGAATCCAAAGTTACTCAACATACAAGAATCAGGAAAAGCTGACCATTTCTCTAAGGAAAAGACAACCATCAGGTACAAACCCTGAGGTGACCACATATTGGAACTATCAGACAAACACTGTGAAATGGAAGTTAAAGAAGCTCAACAAACCCCAAACAAGATAAGCTGAAATGCCCAGATACCTCATATTGGCATGGGAAGTTGCCCACTACATAGTCTTAAATGAACAATATTAAACTACATATAGAATGAAATCAATTGTGTCCAAAATATGTAGATTAAATACTTATATTCCATATAAACAGAAAAATTATGGAAAAAACAAAACTGATCAACCTGTTTGTCTTTGAATGGGTATATTACAGGTTATCGTTACTTTCTTATTTTTAATTTTGCCATATTTCCTAGATTTTCTGCCTCAAGCATGTATTTTATAAGAGTCATGAACACCAATCAATTTTCATTCTGTAAGTGAAAAGCAAGGAATAAAACATTAATTACTAGTTTTCTCAAAGGGATACTTGGCTGAAGTCCAGAAATATTGATTTTGTTACTGCTGTTCTTAACTGTTGTTATAACATTATTTTTTCCCCATTTTTCCTAATACAAGGGCTTTGGAAATAGTTTGTTAAATAACCTTTCAAAATGAAGACCAATGTGCTCATTAATTAATTACTATTTATATAATTCCATACCTCAGATGGACTCTTATCCAATTTGGGTATGCCATTCCAGACATTCTCAGGGTTCACTATCTCCTCCATACCATTTGAAAAGTTCATAACCTATAAGAGAAAACAGAAAATTTTAAAAATTTGGCAACTTCCAAAAATGGTAATTGACTTATGTACCATAGCTATCTTTTTTAAAATAACATATTTCAAAAGACAATGAATATGATGCTATTAAACTTCAATCATATGTTTCAAACTCAATGCTACTTCAGTTCAACAAACATATATGGAGTATCTATGCTTGGAGATTAGAGATGGATAAAATTCAAGTAATTCAAAATCTGGTGGAGAAAAGACCTCTAAGCAGATAATTATAATACAATGCAGGAAGTACAGACTTCTGCAGTAGCAGGTATAGGAATATAATACAGGTATAAAGCTTTGAGGGGGAGGTGAGGAAGGTCGAGGACAAGGAGAAGTTTAGAAAATAATGTCTGTGAGTCAGTGAATGTTTCGTGGAAGGGCCAACAGCTATAGAAATCTTTAAAGATAAATGGGAATGAACCCATTTGGTAATGGGATGGAATATAGGCAAAAGAGAACTGCATTATTAAATACACCAAAGCAGCAAGAAAAAGTGTGTATATAAAAGAAGTTAAGTGAACAGATGTCCATCTAATCTAAAGTACAAAATATATAGAATTAAGACCTATGGTTGGAGAGGTACATGGATGCTCAATTCCAGAGGGACTCCTGCATCATGTTAATGACCTTGACTTTTACATTCTAGATCAGCGGTTTGCCAATATTAACAGTAGAAGAATGCACATTCCAGAATCCTAACCCCAGAAATTCTGAATTGACAGGCCAGGCCAAGGCTCAGGAATCTACAATTTAAGAAACACATCTGGTGACTCTGGTACAGGTGGTTTTCAGAACAGAGGAGAAAGACAATCGCCTGGAAATCCCTAGTAGAAATCACGTCGGATTTGCATTTGACAAACTTCACGCTGGCACAGTGGACAATCAATTTGAGGAAGACTAGAAGAAGTAAACCAAATAGAAGGTTATTAGAGTAATGTGAAATTGTGAGTGTTGTGAAATCAGGGACTCAACTAAGGTAATAAGTGGCATTAGGTATAAAAAGGTCCAACTAAGAATAAGTAGAAAGTGTAGAACTTGATGACTAATAGGATTTTAGGGGTAAGAAAGATAGTTGAAAGAGTAGGATGATTTTTTTTGCTAGGATTCTTTTACAAGAACATTTCAAATGATTTTTGCACTACAGCAAATTACCAAGGGGAACAAGCAGGTAAATATCTGTTCAGTTGCATTCTCTGGTCTAATAAAGTTTGGTAAAACTTCCTTAACAGGCTGCAAGTACATTTTGAGATAAAGTACTTAAACTTCACTTACCCTTGTGCCTTCCTCAGCTATTTCCAAGATCTTACATTTAGACCACGTGTTTCTTTGACTTGACCACACAACACATTTGGATCCAACAGTAAAGGCTTTCAGAGTGTAGGTGTTCTGTGGCTGAGCTGCCAAATTCAATAGAGTAAGACTCAATGTATACCTCTTAATTCCTTAATGTGAGATGCACAAGCAAAGTATTTTCCTTAGTCTGCATTTACTATTCCTACATAATCAAAATCATGTAATTAGTATTGTTAATATGTTCTAAGTCTAACTCCTTACTTCAATTTTATTTTTCTAGTGCCCTCTCCCCATATAATCCCCTACTGCTTTCCTAAAAAAAACCAAAAACAAACCACCATCATAAGAATGTGAATCTGACTTCTAACACTGAAAATTACTACAAAGTGCTGGTACTATTACTGTACGTGATATTGTCTACAGTAGTTACAACAGCCGTTCCTATAGCAAAGGAGCATGCTGCAAGTGAGCAAATATTCTTATCACGAAGCTAATACTTACTAGTATTAAAATGTGAAAATGAGGAATAAATATCTAATGCAAGGGTAATATTTAAATAAACTATGGTGTGCCCAAAGGATGGCATACTATGCAATTAAAATATTCTGCAAGTATTTCAAGGGGATTAAAATGCAGGATTCAAAATTGTATGATAGTATAATCTGTATTCAGTTTTTAAAACTGTATATAAATAGACATACACAAAGAACAAGAAGAAAGTATGCCATGGTGTTGACAGTGGTTATCTTGGTGGTAAGAGTATGATTATTTTCATTCTCATTATTCTATTACTTTCTCTATTTTGCACAATGGTTCAAATTTAATAATATAAAAATTGACATTTAAAAAATATAGCACTGATTATGCAAAACTAAAAGCCATGTCATGTAACATTTAAGCCTCTTTAAGTAGCAAAGAAAATAGCAATAAAATAATTTATAAAAAGTTAATATAGGCCGGGCGCGGTGGCTCACGCCTGCAATCCTAGCACTCTGGGAGGCCAAGGTGGGTGGATTGTTTGAGCTCAGGAGTTCGAGACCAGCCTGAGCAAGAGCGAGACCCCGTCTCTACCATAAATAGAAAGAAATTAATTGGACAGCTAAAAATATATAGAAAAAATTAGCCGGGCATGGTGGCACGTGCCTATAGTCCAGCTACTCGGG